AAGCTGTGCCAGATATGCCCGACCAGTTCCTCAGTCTGTCCAGCAGTATGCTGTGGTCAATTGTGTCAAAGGCTGCGCTGAGGTCCAAGAGTACAAGTACTGAGCACATGCCATCATCAGAAAGGTCGTTGGTGACTTTGAGCAGGGCAGTGTCAGTACTGTGGTTCTTCCTGAAGCCTGACTGAAACTTTTCAAGGATGATGTTGTTTTCCAGTGCAGAGAGAAGTTATGCAAGAGAATAAAAAACTTGAAAATTGGTCTTTTGAGTGAAAGAGGGATCCAGTCCAGGTTTTTCTTAGCACAGTCACACAGGCAGTTTTAAAATAATCGGGGACACAACCCTTAGACAAAGAACTTTTAAAAAAAGAAAGCAAAATAGGCCCGACTGATTCCATAACTTTAAGTAAAAACCAAATTGGTAAAATGTCAAGAGGGCTTGAGGACACTCCCATATGTGATACTATATCTAAAAGTTCCGACAGGGTAATAGGATTAAACTGGTTCAGGCTATGTATTTGTGGGTAAAGAGAATCTTGAGGCTTTAATTGACGCTCTCATTTTCTCAGTAAAATAAGATAAAAACATTAAACAATCAGCATCCCTTTTGACTGGGGCACAGGGAAGATTTGGATTTAAGAGGTGATCAGCTGTTTTGAATAAAAATCAAGGATTGTGTTGATGGGTAGAAATAAGATCTGAAAAATAGCATCTTCTTGCATCCTTGACCATATTGTTGAACAGAATTACTAATTCTTTCATGATTTCATAGTAAAGATATGCGCTCTTTTTTGCATTCCCTTTTACAGGTGCGAATGTTGTCATTTATCCAAGGGTGCTTTTTAACTGACGACTTGGACCTAACCTTAACAGGTGCAATAAAATCTAGTGAGGAGACACAGATGGAGTTGAAATGGTCGGCTAAATCATTGGTGTGGGAGTATTCAGACAAGTGTACACTTTGACTGTCGAAAAGTGTGCAGAAGTTAGAGGCACTTTGCTCATTAAGGATGCGAGTATATTAGGAATGGAGTAAAACAGTATTGCTAGTAGGCGAATTACAGTTAAAAACTATACATTTATGGTCAGATATAGACATATTCAGTAGCTCCATAGTGGACACTTTTACATCAAGAGTAAAAACAAAGTCCAGTGTATGACCACGATTTTGAGTTTGTATGCTGTTTAAAATTAAAATGTGTAACAATGCTTTAAAAATCAGAGGCATGAACATTACTGGAGTCATCAACATGTATATTAAAATCACAGCAGAAAACAACTTTGTCATAGTTTAAAACAAGAGTGGATAAAAACTCAGGAAACTCTGCTAAAAACTCGCCAGTTTGTTTTGGGGGGCGATGAACTATGGCAAATAAAATCAGATGGGGACCATCAAGTTTAAAAGTGGGAACTTAAAAGGAAGAAAAATTCTCACACTATACCTGATGACATCTGAGGGTCTTTTTGTAAACACACACAAGGCCCCCAGCACAACCACTGACCCTGTTGGTTGAAACAATCCTTGTGTGGGTGGCACAGTTCAACAAGGTGACAATGATTGTTAGTTTGCAGCCATGATTCAGTGAAAAACATAAACTCTAAGTTGGCAGACAAAATTAAGTCATTTAAAATAAAAGTCTTATTGGATAGTGATCTCACATTGAGGAGAACCACTTTAAGTGATTTTGTGTTAGGAGATGAAGTTGGTGCAATTGTACGTATTTAAAGTGGATTTATTCATATTTCTGTGTGGTATGAGCACGTGTCGGTTGACAGATCTGTGATTTATGATTATTGGAATTTCAGAATCATGAAACAGTGCAAGAAAAAGAAGGCTTTGTAAAGCGTATAAGTGTATAAAGCCTTCTCATCCTTGCGCTGTTTCATAACAGCACAATGGAGAAAAGTCAACAGAGGAGAAGAGCTCAGTTCACTGTTGACTGTCCAGGTGTGCTGCATGAACTGTCACACACATTTGGAGGTGGAGATTGCATGAAGAATATTTGCAGCTAGAGCTCGAGTGCCCTGTGGACCGGGGTGAATGTCATTTCTGTTAAAAAATGATGCACGTGTAAACCAGCTGTAATTTCAGCCAGCTTATACTAAAATATTATCACTATCACATTTTTTTTTGCGTGTAATGCTATTTAAGTGTTACAACGTTATCATATTACGCTAGCTTTACAACTGCCAGTTTTATGATAGCACTCCTAGTGGGGATTGCAGGCTCAGATGGTTATAGGTGCAGCAGAGTTAACCTGTGTGTGCCATGTTCCACACTCGCTCACCTCGTGTCGCCTGATAATGTGATGTTTCCTGTTAGTGGAGGGACTGCGACCATTTCCCTGTGGCCATTGAGGAGGATAGCTGCCGCCACGGCACCCTTTGGACCCCATTTGTCATTGCAACACACCCTTCACATTTTATATATAGAGCTCTATATCATTTTTCTTTTGCTGACCAGCACTTCATTTTTGGTTAAAGACAATTAAAAAGACATATTTGGGAATTTTTTTTTATTCTTGGATTGAAGACTGTTTGGTACTCTTTATTTTCGTGGACTGAGAAAAGGACTCTCTGAATTAAAAAGACAAGTAATATCTTGTCAGGTACAAGTGGATTTATGTAACAAACAATAAGTCCATTTTTTTGTGTTATATCAAGACCAAAGTTAAAATGTAATTTGCACTTAAATGTAAGTATACTGAGAACTTACTATTATTTATTATTTGACAGAAGGATAAGTTTCCTTTGGTTCAGACTTCCAGTGGCTATTTAAAGTGTGAGGAGGTTGGATGTACTTCAGTCCAGCATATTTGTTAACTGCTATCACAACCCTGAATAAATTCAGCTCTATTACGCTCCCAGAAAAGATTGTAACTGCCAACTAAAACTATGTTGTGTGAGGAGCATTTAGATTGTAGCCATGTGTTTAGACTGAGCAGCCCTAAACCTCAATGGAGACTATTATCTCATCTGGCCTGGGAATGCCTCAGGATTGCTCAGGAGGAGCTGGACAACATTGCTAGGGAAATAAATGTCTGGACTACTGTTATGCCCCAGTATAGGGGCCTAGGACACAACATGGATTGGCCCCATCTTCCCCAAGTCCCAAGTAACCACAACAAAGATTAGTTTGAATATGAAGAAAATGATTTATTTACATAAAAGTTTCTTATGAACATATAGAAAATAAATATTGAGTTTAGGCTTCAGGGTGGACTAAGGCCAACATAATAAACATAATCACCCTGTCTGGAAAATAAACAACTAATCTAACCAAAGGAAAACAAATAACAACCAACTCACCTCCCTAACTAAATAAACAGGAAAAAACCAGAAGAACAAAACTGGCAGCCCACCCTTACTACTCAAATGAAACAACGAACTACACAAAACTGAATCGCTACAACGGTGTGGCCAGTTGGGAGAAGAGGAGAACGAGAGTGAGCCGGCGGCCATCTTGGCTCCTTATATACCAGGTGATCGGGGATGCAACCAATCACCGACCAGAACGCAGAGCCTTTCTACCAATGACGGCACGGCTGCAGCCCACACCTATTTGCATACAATGAAAAAACAGAAACACAAGACACACACACACATACACAACAGACCAACCACAACAACATGACCGCGGTCATAACAACTACTTTACTTGACCTGCTGCTGCCATCCAACCCCAGATAAGCAGCAGAAAATGGATGAATGGACTTGTAGAAAAGTCAGCAGTGCTGTGATTACTGGAGATGATCTTATATCTGAAAGACAAAAAGTTTAGTGATGTGAATGAAGGGGAAGTGCATGAAGTGTCAGTGCAGTGGAAAACACATACACTTTGTAAACAGATTTAGCTCTGAGTGGCCTGGGACTGATCATGAAACACAACCTTACAAGATATTTCATGTGTTTCTCTCAGTTCTACTTTAAAAGTGTTTACAGTTTAGTAGAGATGGGGTCAAATTAAGCCTGCACGATATTAGAAAAATTTGCAATGACTCTATGAGTTGCAATAAATAAACGAATAGTGTGCATATACAGTTTTGCTGCCGAATGAAAAACACAGACAAAGGTCACTATTGGTCATCTTATCCATCCTCCTCCCTCTGCTGCGGGTAACACAAATGAAACTGCAGTATACACACAGTTTTCCTTTTAGCTTGTCTATAACAGTTCACAAGCCTAACGTTAGCGCACTGCGCTTGTGTAAAACAATCCGCGGTGGATGGAGAAGCTTAAAATGTAGCGTGCTTCATGTTTAAATCTTGTTGAACAGGTGATGTAATGGAGGACCCGCTAATTGCTTTTTTTTACTCGCAAAGGTTGTCATGACACTCACAGTAGTTGTCAGCTCTGTTAAAAAGTTCATTCCTCACTGGTCTCCACCTCTGTGCTGTCTGTTGCGTGTGAGAGAGGCTGCGGCCTGACACCAAAACGCAGTGTTTTTTTTAAGGTTTATTTGTTGTAGGTGCCGCGCCTTGAAAACCCTGCGTGCATGGCGGTGTAAATACATTTTTTTTCTAATTCATGGTGTTTCAGTCAGTCTGTTGCAATATGTTTAATTTTGTTATAATATGTTTATAATGTGATAAAGATGAAAAAAAGATTAATCAGTCAGCACAAGGTCAAATCTGTATTCAATATCCTATCAGTTCATCAGAATCAAATTATTTTGAATCACTGTTTAAATCAATTGAAGGTCATATACTTAATGAATACTAATATTAAGGCTTTTCAAAAATATATACATATTTAGGGGGTGATTAGTGATTAGTTAGACAGTGATCTTAATCAGTCCTGTTGTTTATCTAGCACTGAAGCAAATCCAAAATAGAACAGGATATAATTTAATGCAGACCTGTGCGACAGCTGCACAGACAAATGAAATCTAGTAAAAAAAAAAAAAGAAAGTGGTCTGCCAAAAAATCTAATAAACAAAGAAAAATCAATGAAAAAGCTAAAATTTGGTCTCTTCTTCACCTCCTCTGTCCCTCTCTCCACAGATTCCGATGATCCACTGGGATCTGTCCACAAAGAGGATCCTGACCATGGAGTTTGCAGAGGGGGGGCAGGTCAATGACAGAGACTACATGAAGAAACACAGCATCAATATCAATGAGGTACTGTCTGCTGCTCTGCCTGCTCCCTTTCAGACAGTGTGTGTGTATAGCAGTTTATCAACTGATAATCCAGGTACCATCATGATTACATGATTAATCAACTAATCTTATCACCACTAGTCTACAGCATTAAAATATCATGTTAAAAACCTTTTTTTCAATACCATCATACTCATAGACTACTAAGTACTATACTAGTATTATGTACATGAAATACAAACAAAAGAGACAGTGACTCAAGTTACAATATCAGTATAACTCAATGTCCAGACAGCTTCAACTAAGAAGGTGGTAAATATCATTCAAATGTAAAGTCAGACAATAAACATTTTCCAGCAAATATGGACCCACAATTTTATTCACATTCTTATTAAAATGATTTATATCTTGTATAGTTGTTGTTTTACTGTTTTAACTACAGAATCTGAAATTTACTGGTAGATGTACTGTCTATAAAAGTGTTGTTTGATTATAAAGCAGGTGTCGATTCTATATTAATACTTTGAAAGTATCAAAGCACTCAGTCCACAGAGAAATGCACACAGCCAGTATTCAGAAACTGAGCATTAAAACCAGCCGTCAGGACTTCTGGAACTTTGTGATGACACAACAAAGCCGTCACTGCTCTCAGCCACGCCCCAAGCCGTCCCCATTTTGACCCACCATCCAACTTTTTTTTTCCTTTTTTATTTGTCGTTCTAACTTTATTGACAAGTTAACAACACAACACCAAGCAGCTATTCTACCACTGAGCTAGCAGCTAAAACACAGTGAAAAGTGGAGGACACGCTGCATGACAGGATACAAAACGCCCTTTTGGACATCACAATTTCACAACTTCAAATAAAGCACCAGGCAAGTGTAAAATATAAATATTATATTTTATGTTACAGTCTTTGATTGGCAGCTTACTTAAATAACCCACACACACACAGATTTGCTCCTCTATCCCTATGGGGACACTCATTAACATAATGCATTCACTAGCCCCTTACCCTAACCATTACCCCAACATATTCTAACCCTAAGAGCAACTCTTAACCTCAAAATGCAGTCTCTACCTGTGGGACCTCAGTTATTGTCCCCATGGTGACACAAATCTGCATGGGTAAGTGTGCATTCAGGTTTAATGTCCCCAGCAGGTTATAAGACCAGGAACAAATACACAAATACACACACACACACACACACACACACACACAGACACACACACACACACACAAACGCACAACAAGATGGATAGAATTATTAGGTGGCAGTGGTGCATGCTGGACCCTGTGTCTGTGTGTGTAATCACATGATGGATTAGGGCCCAAAGAGACTTTCCTCTTAACTTGACCTCAAGATGTGAACACAGCAGACCAATGCTTTCTCCCTCATATTACTAAGACTTAAGATAGGACTGACTTCATTCATAAATCCCATTGGAACTAGATTTTTAGTGGAGCAGATCTTTGGTCTAATGTTGTCTTAGTAAGCTGCTAATGAGGTTCCCATATACCAAGATCTTGAGGACTGTTTTTAATTATCTCCACTGGTTTCACTGGTTTGTATATTGACTTTTTCTCTGTTGCACATCTGATTATGTAGGCTTAATTACCCAGAGATCTTAAAGGAATAGATACCATGGCATTAACAGTATGGCAATATCTCTGACAAGGAATTAATCTTGTCTAATATGGTATGTCCTTGTATTGTTCAGCCTCACCGGGCCATTCACTAATTAGAAGGTCGGTGGTTCGATCCCCGGCTCCTCCAGTCCACGTGTTGAAGTATCCTTGGGCAAGATACTGAACCCCACTTTGCCCCTGATGGCTGTTCAATCAGTGTATGGATGTGATGTATGAATGTGTGAGTGAATGGGTGAATATGGCAAGTATTGTAAAGCGCTTTGAGTGGTCAGTAAGACTATAAAAATGCAAGTCCATTTACCATTCACCGGGGAGATGATGAAATATGATCCAGCCACCTGAGCAAGAAAACGCTAGAGACACTAGGAGCAGCAGCACAAGCCACTGAAATAATTTAATTTATTAAGAAGATGGAAGAACAAGTTACCAACCAACCTGAGGTTGTTCTGTTGTTTCAGTGCTGGCTTCACCTGCAACGCTCCCTGGGATAGGGGTCAGATAGTATGGCTTCTCAGCTGTTCTAGCGATCTCACTCTCGGGCTAGTGGAGCTGAGTTTAAGGCTAATGATGATTTTTGCAAGCAGGTAGAAGTGGGTAGGCAACAGAAGTTGACCAATTAATCTGTGCTGATAGGACGTTTTATAAATCTTACCTCCAGCAGTCATCACTGTTTTACATGAAGGCTCCATTCATTTATATTCAATTGAAAGTTAATTTTACAGAAGATAGCTTTATTTGTAAATTATGAGCATGATCAGGTAGTTGGTCATATTGAAACATCATTACACTGTAAAACCTGATGAGTTAGTTCAACTCAAACTGTTTGAGGAAACCGATTGCCTTGAACCATTTAAGTTTATTAACTCAAACAATTTAATCATGAAAAATTATTTTATTTGCGTACAAGCAACTCATGTATTTAATGTTAAGGTAACGGGTAAATAAAGTTAATAGTACCAGTTCCATTCAGTTCATTGAACTTAAAACTAATAAGAATTTTATACTCATATGTAGCATTTCTCCAAACTTATTAAAAATGTGTCAATAGAACTAATCTGAATTAAGTAAGACTAACTTAAATGGATCTTCTTTACACAAATGTTTCCACTAAGTTTCAGTTACTCAGTTTTCTTCCACTAAAGCAAATGATTACATTCTAGTTGTGACAACTTAAAACTTTGCTGTAGCTACTCAATTCATTTGAGGAAACTGATTGCCTTAAACCTTTTAAGTCTGATTAACACAATACAAACACACATGTCTGACAAAACTTAAACAATTTATTTAGTTGAATGCTTAACACTCATAAATAAATAGTTAAACATGTCAATGTAAAACATTTCAATGTTCACAGCTCTCGAAAGTTAGTTTACTCCTCTCCACTTACTTTTGTTTTTCTTAACCTTATTAATGAAGTTTTCAGGAAAAACACCCCTTCAAAGATGAAACTTAAAAGTTCAGTAGACTTCACCCTCACATTATCATCAGTATTTGCAGCCTCTGGTCTAAGTCAATCAAACTGACATAAAACAATGTATATGTGTATTCAACAGGAACCCATGATCTGTTATGACATTTTGGACACTGATGGCAGAAACCACAGATCCTAATCAAAATAAAAAAAATAATAATATAAATGTAATTTTCATGTGGTAATGCAGAAAGTGTGAAGACACCACAGAAACAATACAAAAACACATTTTAGTAAAAACTATTAAATCAAACTAGAACGCTTGTGATTTGCACAGTACCTGTTTAAACACAAAAATCAGAACTGATGCACGCAAGCCAAACGATAATTTTTGACATTGCTGACCTTCAACAACAAAACCTGTTGACAACTTTACTCCAGCTCATTTCTCAAGGCCTGTAACTTAGGTTTGAGCTGCTTTCTCCCATCATCAAGATTTAGAGGACAATCTGGATGAACTCAAAGAAGCCACTTTGCTTCTCAGGGTAGCTCAAATGGAGAGCTTAGATCAGTCCAAACAAAATCACCAGTGAATCTGTCCAAGATCTGTGAGACATTACAACCTGATCCTCGAGGACGATTGACACGTGGTGAGTTTCAAAGGGAACTCCTGCAGGCACCTTTTCTTCATTGAACACTGCCACCAGAGTCACTGCTCCCTCTTGGGTTGCCTCCAACTCATCCTGAAAAGGAAATACATGTTCAGTGTATGTGAGTGTAATTTTACAAATAATCAAGCTTATAAAAAGGCTAATGATGAAAAAGAAAACATCATTACACCATCCCTTCCAGATTTTTACATGCAAGTCGAAGCAATGTGTAAACTTAAGCAAATAAATGCTGGGCCATAATTCCATGTATTAGTTCAGCAATATGGTGTTTCACTGTACTAACATCTTATGCAAGCTAAGAGTTCAAGATTATTTATTATTATTACCCTCAATTTGTCCTTCCATATAATGAGGGGGAGTTCTAGTCTGTCTTCTTTGTTACCAAATGTTAGCTCAGAATATCTTAAGTGATCAGGTTACAGATAAGGTTTCTCTTTTTAACTGCTGTTTCAAAGACTAATGAAAGTCACCCTGATCATGTCAAACCCCTTTGATATTGTGAGGATCTGGACTTATTGTAGAAGCTTTCTTAGTTTAGATGAGCACAAACAAAATACACAATGATTATCAAATCAACTACACGGACAGAAATCGAAAGAGAGATGAGTAGGGAGTCTATGATGCTCAGTTATTTTATAAACTTTTAATTTGTGTTCCAAATTTGGGAGCAGATAATCTGTTAAATTAGTCTTTATGTGCGTGATGAGACCTGATTTTTAAGCACATTTTAAAAATGTGTGTAACCTGAACCTCACTTAAAGGATAGCCTTGAAAAAACCTTAACCAATCCTAATACTAAGACTAAGACTCACATGCCATATGTCCATGTAAATATTTTTGGTGTGTATAATCATTCCTCCTGTGAAGAGATCCCTTCATAACACAACTACACTAACAGATGGAGGACTAAATCCAGTCGTCGTTCTATGTGAAACTGACTTCTAAAGTTCAGCCGAAGTAAATATGACGCTTCAGCAATCTGAGTTACACTAATCAACTCGTATCTTCCAAAGTTGTTCCTTTTAGTACAAAATTCCTTGTCTTTCTATTCACATGTAGGTTTATTGTTGGGACAAAACACTGACGACAAAGCTACAAGTGACTGCCAAGATGAAGATCCCCATTGGTTAGGAAGGGATTTCTTTAGAGCCCGTATGGACAACTCTTTATGTGGACACATGGACATGTGAGCATTGCATTAAGATAGACCAGAAGACATGCAAGCCAATGAGTAAATATTAATTTTACCGTAATGGATTTTTACAGCCTAAAATGAAATACTTGACA